GATATTTGTAAGCGTTCGTCTTGGTGTCGCTGTTCTTGTTGCCGGCAACAAGCTCGCAGCTCACTTCGTCCGCCATGCCTTGCAGCTGAGCAAAAGCCACATCCGTCCTCGCGTCAGCCTCCCCGCTGGCGATTAACCGCTTGGCCTTGAGCACCGACTCCCTGTTGTGCGTCGCCAGCACGACGGCCACATCAGGAAACGCATTACCCTCCAGCGAAGCATCAAGTAAAGGCGCCCTCCATTCCCTCTTCAGCAGCGACTCGGCGATCCCGTCGTACGCCCTATCCGTATCCTCCTTGGTATCATGAATAACCTCGCGCGGATCGCTCCCCAGATAAGCACCCCTAACCAGCTTGACTCCGAGCGTGAACCCCTTCTCCTTTGCATCCTTGAGGTGGTTCCTCAGCGTCTCGGGCGTCTTCTTCAGGTAGGCCTGGTAAGTACCGTAGACAACTGCTTTTCTAGGTTCGTCGCAATTATACTTGCGCATGTACATCATGGTCCAGTCGTCAATCCCATCCTGCACCGCCGTCTGCTCGGCATCGAAGAGCAACCTTACGCCCCTCTTTCGCGCCAGCTCGCAGATGGTGTCGATGGCTTCAGCAAGCTCCTTGGATGGCGCCTGTCTCCGACGGAGATCCGACAGCGCTTGGCTCCCTGCGCCCGTGAACTTGAGAGCCACAAAATCCCCCTCGGAGGCGAGGAGTACGGTCATGAGGGTGCCGGTCGCCCACGGTTCGACCTCGCTCTGGATGGTGGCTGCCCCTGCCTGGTTGGGCGTGGATTCGCCCTCGTGAGGAGCAACCACTTCCTTGGCGTACCCCAGAATCACGCCCCGAAAGCCGATATCCTTCAACTGCTGGATGGTCTGCCGCACCTCGGAGGCATTTTCACCGGCGCAGAACTGAGCGTAAAATGTCTTTTTTAGTAGCGCCCTGAGTAAAGGGTTCGAGTCGGGGTTGAGGGCGGGAGAGGTCGTGTGTGCTAATCCCGACATGATTTTGAGCGAAGGTGGGAGGAGGATCGGCGACGACGACACGGTCGTGGTCATCCATGATCTCAGCACGTTTTTAAGCGGCAGAACTGCCAGCGGCGATGACACAGCCGGTGGCATGTTGGAATTTGGTTCTTGGTGATGATTCTGCGGTGATGTCGTGATATCAACGGCATCGGCCAGAGTAAGGTTTCCCGAAGGTGAAGAATTTGTCGAGGAAGAGTGGAGGGATCGTGTGGAGTTGGTAGATGCTTCTCGAGCGGTGAGCACGACGGTTGAGGTCCGAGGCAGGAACGTTGATGAGCGGACAGGTGCAGTGCGGGAAAGACCAGATGATGCAGCAGCTTGTCGAGTTACGGTGCGGGGTGAGCCCCGAAGGGTCCTCTGGATGGTGGCCATTGACCTTGGAATGGATGATCTTGATCGCAAAGAGATGTTATGCGTGGTGGTTTAAAAGTTTGTTGGCCCGAGGGGGAGGGGGGACGGGTGGATATCGATGAGTGTGTTACAGACAAGATAGAGGGGAAGAACCTAATGCAAGTTTATATGATGCGAATGGCATAAGCTCTGCAGACGTGGGGGGAGATGAACAGTTCTTCTTTTAGACCTGAGTAAATAGGGCTGTTTCCCCCTCAGGTTGTTTAATCGCCAGACCATCCCCCCCCGCGCCCCCGGTATCGCTTCTGTTCTGGCCTCAGAATATGCCAGGATCCACCAATCCCACGGAACATCGCCAGGCCAAACGCCTCCTTTGTCAAGGTTCTGGCCCTGCATGCTATGATGTTATTGTCCGTACCCTTATCAGTCGCCCATTGAGAAACCAAAGGTTCCCCACACAAAGGCCGCGGGTAGCCGCCAGTGTGGGGATGAAATTGACTGCCGTCATTGATGAACTCGCCCCGCTTTGATGCTTCCCGGGTCCCTGGCAAAGCATTCCATTGGGTCTTGCCAAGGGATTCCGACGAAATTTCTCAGTTTGGCTGGATTGCTGCTTGGTTGATGCCGGCGCCCCCCGCGGTGGCTGCGTGGGTGATGGCTCCCCTCTCCCCCAATTCCCTCAAGCGCCAGCGGCTTAAGAAAGTCGGGGTCCTCTCATCAGCCGACGTCCCAAGAGAGCCCGGACCGATTGAAAACAAAAGGTTCTAGCGAACTCGGAGAGCGGCTGATGTCGGCGTGCGAGAAAGTCCAATTGACCCTGCCATTGTTGGGGAGCAATCGCCGTGGTCATGTGGTCAGTTTGATGTGCTCTAGTGCAAAGCTGTGGGTCGGAAAAGCTGGCCAGAGGCTGCTAGTATGTATATGAGTGCGTGTGCGCGTGAGCGTGTGTGTGCCCCGTGCGGGCCGAAGCGATCACTCTTTTCCCGATTCAAGAGGAATGCGTCCCCTTTGGTGTGTGACGGGAGTTGTCATGTTTCCGTGTGGCGCAGATTAAGATTTGAAAGAGTCCGCGTTGGATGCGCCAAACCGTCTTTTTGCATACTCAATATAGCTGATGCGTCGTCCTCGGGCGAGTCCCAGCAGATCTTGCACTCCTCCGTAAACGACCCCAACGACGAGGGCCGCTTTGGTGGTCCGAGCAGTCATGGGCAGCGAAAAGCGGTCTGCGTTGCAAATAGCTGTCAGCACTTTCCCGTAGAAAAAAAAAGAGACACCCAGAAACACCTACTCCACAGACTGAATCCTCCAGCAACGGTCACGCAAGAGGTGACTGTGTTGAGGAGATCGGCCGTCCCGCGGTATGTATCAAACATTTGCTCAATTGCAAACATGGCTGTCGTCAAGAATGACACCTTTGCTCCCATCTTTAGACCCTCGCGGACCCCTCCCTTCATGACATGATAGTTTTTGCTCTTGTGGTACAGGTACCAGCCCGTTGTCGTCGTGGGCAGCTTGTGCGCATGCTCGGCTCGAAATCTCAGGCCCGACATTTTGCTTCCCTGGCCGCCTCCTAGAGCAAAGCCGGCCCCGAAGGAGAGCATAGTGGCAAGCGGGATGCGTATGCCGGCGGGGATAGAAAGGCGCGCATCGCGGTAGATTGCTTCGAGCTCCTCCCTGGTGAGGGGTTCAAATGCAACTGGACCTTCTCGGTAGCGCTGCGGCTCGTTCTCGGGGTCGTGTTTTGGCCTAATGACGTCCATGATGTCTGATTTCGCTGCGGAACAGGCAATTCAGTTTGGTTCCTATCTTCCAGTCGTGTTTGTTGAAAAGTGGCGCAGAGGCTTTCAGCAAGCAATTGCATGTTCGCCCGTGTCGACTGCTCTGCGATTGTTGGAGTCCACCGGGCAAGCTCCCAATCTTTGACCACCATGCCCCACTCTCCAGGCAGCTCTGGTTGCTTGGCGATTGCCCCTCTGCCGAGCGCAGAGCTCTGAGCTCCAAGCTCCGAGCTCCCGTCCCCATCATTTTCAAGGTTGCACTGAAACACTGGACAAGCACCTTGCTGGGCACATCCTCAAATTCCCGTCCTCAGTGGAAACTACCTACGAGAGTAGATAGGTAGGCAATTTTACCGCAAAGAAAACCTAAACCTAGCTGAACATCAACGCAACAAACGACCAAGATGGTGAGTCGCCGATAGGTATAGATCGATGCCTTTAACACCACTAACCCCTCGCGCCCCAACGATTTCTAGGCCCCTCCAAACGGGCACAACGATGACACCCCCACAGCGCTCTCGATCCTGTTGAAACACGGCATCCACACAATCTTCATCTTTGCCTCGCCCGAATGGACCTTTACCCGACTCTCCTCGGAGCTCCTGACCATCCTGCGCGACCGATACCCCGACGGACTAACCACGAGCGTCGCGCCGCGGAAGATTACCCCGATACCCAAAAACAATAACGACGTAACAATCATATACGGACTGCTCAAGGACGCCGAGGATCCAACAAAGGGCTGGGACGAGATCGTTGTCGAGAACCCAAGCCAGAACAAGCTGGGCCAGAAGGGCTTCTCCGAGGTCACAGTCGCGGCGTTTGCGTTTGCGGACAAGAATTACAACCCTCAGATGAATGACGTCGAGTTTGAGGTTGAGGTGCCCAGGGATTACGAGGACGAGGAGGAGGAGGGGTATTAGAGAGGCTGCGATATTGAAGTCGAATTCCAAGGCAGCAACCTAAGCGGGGGGTGCAGCTGTGGAATGAGGAAGCAGCTATCATGACCAAATTTTTTTTTTCTTTGGCGTTTTGGGGCTGGGGGACATTACGGGGCGTCTTGAGCGAGGCAATCTCGGGGAGGCTCTTTAGACACTTATACTTGCCATCGTTTATTGGCGCCCACATACAACGTGAGCACATGGGAATCACCAAAAGTAGAAATCAAACAAGCGACAAAAGATATAGCTTGATTCCACATACTACGTGTGTGTAGCTGATGTTTCGGAAATGCAGTGGATGAGGATTATTTTTGCCAATAAATGCACAGTCAAGCTATCCTCGCATCGGAAAGCCCATGATGATCGAGTTCCAAACATTTGCTTGCACAAGACGATGAAGCCCCCATTAGTGACCAATTCCCCCCTTTTTTATTTAGCTCCAAAACATCAACTTTAATAAACCCGAGATGCATCTCTCTTACTACTCTTCTCCATAATTTTTATATACCCATTGGCTTAGGATTCCCACCCAAAGAGATCCAAAAGCTCCAAAAAAAAAAAAAAAAAAAAAAAAAAAAAAAAAAAAAAATTTTTATTTTTTTTTAAAAAAAAAAAATAAATTTGCCCCACGTATTTTTTTTTTTTTGAAAAATACAACAGTTGGTTTGTATCCCCATCAATAACAACGCAATTAAAAAGACC